AACTATTAGGGGTTCTTTAATTTGGTGGTATTTTGCAGTCAAAAAAATAAAGGGATGATTTTTTAACAAATGGGAGGTGGAGTTTTATTTTCTTTCTTTTTTTTTTCTTTTTTTTTTTTACAAAACAAAAGTTTTTGTGGGGTCCAGTGAATTAGAAAAGGGAACAAAGTAGCCATGCACTCTTCGCGTGTGGGAGACGGATGTGCACAGCTGGGCGCAGGACTGCTTTTTTTTTTTTTTTCTTTTTTGTCAGTTATGTACTTTTTTTTTCCTCCTCTTAAAAGGGCAAGATAAGCAAACTAATCATTCATTAAACATTAAGTGAAAGCAAGTCTAAACGGAGATATTATGCCACATCTTAAAGTATTAAAGATGCACAGGCGAAATATAAACACTAAACCAACATCCAGAGTCTACGGCTCACAGGCCAAGCAAAGAACTAAAGGAAGGGTAAAGCTACACTAGCTAGAAGTCTCCACTAGCGCGCTCCTCAACTAATCGAAACCTGTAAAGACAAGGGATAACACCCGGTCTGGTAACCCACCAATACGCGTTAAGTATCAATATATATACATAGATATGATCAAAACCATTTGGAACTGACGAATATGGTATAGGGAATTTGAAAACCAAGAGACGAGACAACAATCAATCATAACACACTCTCAGTAAGGATCAAGACCCACAACTCAATCAAATCAATAGCGACCACAACTACAAACGAAATTCACAACTCTACATGCAACCTACCATGCACAAGGTAGAGTTCATCACAGACGTGCACATAAGCAAAGAAATACACAATCACATAATGACAAGTTCACGTTCCAACCTTATACCTTAGTACCACCCTTATAGCTACCCACGGCCTTATCACAGTTCCAACCTGTACCTCCGAGTGCCACCTTGTACTTCTGAGTCCAACATTTTCCCGGTCTGGGATCGTCGTCCTCCACCAATCTACACCACCAATTAGAATATCACCGATCTCAAGTACACGAGGGTACTGTTCAATTCATAGTAACATACCACCGATCTCATGAGCAAAGCTCGAGTAACAAAACCACCAATCTCATTCACATTCACACACAGTCATCATCATCAAGAAGACTAATGCTCATCAATAGCCCCAATCAAGTATCAACAAAGGGTACAACAATTTGTACAAGATAACATCATAATAATCAACCAAGAGATTTCAACAAAGACATGAGGCAATACTCAACAACAAAGGATTACAATCCAACACCAAAATGATTGACAACACGAGTTGCCAACCCCAACAAGAAGGAACAAACCACACATACTAGCATAACAACATCAAATTAGCGTGCTCATCAAACGGATAAACCGAAAATGGTTCCAACAAACCTTCAAGACTCATATCAGCCAAACGAATCACAAGGATGGACCCTTAGCACGATTCAAGACACCAAATCCTAACATGGATTCCTAACACATCGTTATAGACATACGAAACATCAAGAAGACTCACAAAAGCTCGATAATCCAACAACGGGATGCCAAAATATCAAATACCAAGAAGAAAGGATCACGGGGAACAAATCCCCGCAATCCCCACATATTTTCTCCGCGGGTGGAGCCACGGGAAGCCCCCACCCGTGGGCCTGCCCGCGGGGTACACCTCGAGAACAACCTTGTTCCCTGCGGGTGGGTAGGCCATTGCCCGCCATTCCGCCCGCGGGGTACACCTGTACTCCACAAATTCCCTTCGAGGAAAATCATCAACAAAGCCAAGTTCAAGTCCAAAACACCCAAAACCTCTCACACAACAAAGATATGACTTGAACCCAAGAATAGCTCAAAGCAAGGCATTCAAGAACCCTAAATACAAGCTCTAAACATGCATTATCACAAGATCATGCATCAAATCACTCACAACATCAAGAATCATCAAATAGAAGCCAAGAAATATCAATAGCAAGCATAAAATAGGTTTTATAGAGCATGAGTTACCTTTGAAGACCAAAAACCACTTCCTTCTTACACTCCTAAGCCTCACCTTGAAGCTCTTCCTCCCCAAGGACTTCTCACCGAACCAAACCACAAGGAAAAACACCAAAATAAGATAAAGATACCTTTAAGCTAGCTAAAAACACTCAACAACTAGAGATCTTATCCTTTCTTATGCTAGAGAGGTAGAAAGGTGGAAACTTTAAGTGAAATCTTGCAAAGATAGAGAACCCTTCTTCTAGCTTAGAGAGAAAGGTAAGATTTCTTGTAGAGAGAATGTTGAGGTTTTAAGATTTGGCTAGCATGGCAAATGAATGAAATGTCTTGCTAGGGATAGCTTGAACAACAAAACATGTGTGAAAGGTCAATTTTACCCTTACTAAGGTTAGAAAGACACAATGGTTGAGGTACAAACCTTAAAGCAAAAGGTACACTTGGTTGACTAAAGAGGCTAGTCAAATTCTAGTCACTCGACTATCAAATTTTAGGATTTTTAGAGAGAAATTACCAAAGGAAAGCTAGGATTAATTCCTCAATTAATCACAATTAGAAGTTAGATTTACGGGGTGTCACACTTCTCTTCTCTATTTCCTTCTCTCTCCTACATGGTATTTGAAAAAAGCAACAAATAAAAATAATAATAAGTATTTTGCATTCAAGTATCATAACAAACTCAATTTTACATATTGATTATAGTCATTTTATAACATTATAACATAAAACTATAAACATAATAATTAAATTTGTAAATTAAAATTATATATATTAATTAGGTATAAAATATATATTAAAAACAAATAAATAACTTTATTAGGTTTACGAACTCTTCTTGCCAATTATTAAGAAGCTCGAATCTAACTTATCAACTCATTACGTTAACTATTCAAATTCAAACTCGGCTCGACTGTATCCAAATCAAATTTAAATATTCATCGTATCAAAATTGAGTAACTTGACTCATTATTAATTTACACTCATAAATTCAACCTTTCAAGAAAATAGATAAATAAATATTATTTATTTATTTTTAATGTGTGTGTGTGTATATATGTGTATCAGTGTATGTGCATGCATATGTCGTTGTTGGTTTCCATATTAAACAAACATCATATAAAACCATGAAGTTGTTGTGGTCTCATTTATGGATTCTTGTCTGGTGCCTTGTACAATTACTATCATTAGTTAGACCTCGTTTGAATCATATAGAAAAGACAACTAAGAAAAAGAAAATAGAAAAAAGAAAATGTCATTTTCAATCTTTTTTTCCCCAATCATTTTCAAGCGTTAGTTATATTTGTAATGTAGAATTAATTCTTAAACTCTTAAATTCTTAAAAATATAAAATTTGTTTCTCAATTTTCATTCAAATGGTTTTTTTTTTTTTTTTTTTTTTTTTTTTTTTTTTTTTTGTCTCAATTACAAAAATCATTAATTTTTCATAAAAAGTTTCAACTTTAATTTGACATGGTGCTTTTGACTATTTGAATGGCATTCTTCATCTTACGATGAAGATATTTTAATCGACCTACTTTTATTTTAATTTATGAATAAAATAAAATAAGTTGTCAATTTTTGCTATTCACTCTTGATTATTTTTAATGTTTTACTAAAGTAATTCTTTTATTTTGTAAGTTAAGTAATTGAAGCATGTGTTCATCTCAACTAAAAGTCTAAGCTGATAGTTGAATTGCACATTTATGTTTATATATATTATATGCTCAACATAAGTATTAAAAGTATATATGGAGTAGAGTTAAATATTTTATTATTGAATCCTAAAAGTATACTTTGCTAAATGAGGGCAAAATATACATTTATAACCCAATGTCTATGAGGGCTAAATTAAAGGGCATTATATTCATGGTGATAGAGTTTTTTCCAAGTTGTTGTGCTAACATGGATTTAAAATACTCCGTAAAAAATTTAAAAATGAAAAAGGAGATTGTGTAACAGTTAGTGACCACTCTCAAGTGCCTAGCTGGTACAAGAAGAAACTTTATCCAAATGTTATATTCTAAGAATATAAACTAATATTAAAACATAAACAATACGGAAGACTTATCGGATATCTTCTAATATATAAAATAAAGAAGATTAGAAGATATCTCTGAGAATTGAAGTTACCTTAAGTACTTATTTCAACTGAATATATGAAAATGTGTTTTGTAATAAAAAAAAATAAACACAATCAGCTTATGTTTAACATATAATGGAGGTGTTTGGTAAATAGCTGTTAGCTGGTTGAATTAGTGGGTTTAATTCGTTAATAACATTAGTTGATTGTAGAGAGATATTTATTAAATTAGCTATTACTTAATAGCTGATTACATGCAAAAATGAATTTCTTAAAAAGCTTATTGAAAAAGCTGCTTTGAGCAGCTTTTTGAATTTTAGCGTTTTGGAACAATAAGCTAAGCTGTTACAAAAAACTAATTAATCAAACACTTCTATTGGTTGTTTAATCAAGTCACACAACTAATATTGGACAATAAGTTAACTATGTTACCAAATTCGGTCAATATATAAACATAAATGAGCAACCTACTGATCGATTTATCAACTTATACTTTTAGTTGAGATTCGGTTTTTGCTGAATCATTGTTTAGAACACTAATGATTAGTCAAAGTATAACCTCAAATAGTCGAACGACTTTCACCTAATGACAGCAAAATTATATTGATAATAATAATAAATTAAAGTGATTGTTGAAATGCAAATGCTGCCACTACTTACCCCATCAGCTCTCCTTCCGTTTCACTTACTTCTACTTACTGTTACCACTTTACTCATAAGCTATTGCTACTTGCTAGTATGCTACTTACCACCCTCACCTCCCTCTCTGTCTCTGAACTAACACCACTGTCCCCTTCTCTGGGGGGCTATGGCTAACCGATCTACTCTCTCCTTCTCCCTCTTTAAATCTCTCTTTCTTTCATTACCATTTCTTTAACACCACAAACAAAAACAAGAAGAAGAAAAGTAAAAGTAGTTAGTTCAAATATTATATTTCTTAGAAAGAAAAATGATGGTTAAAGAGTCGTCATCTAGGAGATCGATTAGTATGCAGTCAATATACGAGAGGGTCCAGTCCCTGGCTTCCGGCAATGCGGTGGTGATCTTCACCCTCAGCGGCTGTTGCATGTGCCACGTCGTGAAGCAGCTCCTCTTCGGCCTTGGGGTCGGCCCCACCATCGTGGAGCTCGACCGCGACGCCCACGGCCGCGAAATCTACGACCTCCTCTTAAACCTGCCGGGATCCGTCCCCGGCCAGCAGCAGCCCGTCCCGGCGGTGTTCGTCGGCGGAAGATTCTTGGGCGGGATCGACACTGTCATGGGTTGTCATATCAATGGCACCCTCGTCCCTCTCCTTAAAGACGCCGGAGCTCTCTGGCTCTAAGCCACCCTCCCATCGATACCCTTTTGCATTTGAGAGCTCAAAAGATGTCCGCCATCTTCACAACCTCTGTTTTGCTACTTAGTATAGTACGTATGTAGGAGTATTATATTTCTTTTTAGTTTCTAGCACTGAAATATAACATAGGGATTTTAATTAATTTCATGTTCAAATGTAATTCTCCCTCTTATGTTAATCAAATTCTTTTTTTCTTTAATTTTAATTTACAATTTTTATTCATACTTCTTCTGTTTTACTATTTAGTTTCATAATGTCACTTATTTGTCAAACTGGGTAATATGTATTGTCAAAAATCTATTCACCTATTTTAAACCGGTCTGGTTCTAACCATTACACCAAAAGTTACAGCTCGTAGTGAAGACGCAACTTTTCATGGGCCTCCGCCCAACAATCTTCTAGCCATCAATTGCTACACTTGATTTTTCATGGGCCTCCGCCCAACACTTTCAATGCTTCTTAATCTTTGTTGATTTCCTTTTGGCATTACATTCCAGACTCCAAAGATTGGCTACAACAACACCTACAAACTCTTTCCCAGCTGAATCCACTATTCCGAACAAATCCACCATCAACATTGGTCATGGTTTTGCAATTCAGCAACAACCCTTCATCATCAATTCCGATGCCGAAAATCCGTATTATTATTTCCCCTCTTCTTATAGTAGGGGCACAAAGCTCTTTGGCAATGTTCTCACCACATAGATAAGTACAATCCTTGGACACGGACGATATATATGACATGGCGCTAAAAGGGTGCAACAATTATTTATTTATTTATTTATTTATTTATTTATTTATTTATTTATTTGTTGACAAATCCCTTCCAATGTCAAATGTTGGCCATCTCCATCACGCTTGTTTGCGTAAACAATATGGTGATGTCATGGATCCTCAACTCAATACACTCGTCCCTAGCTAACATGGTCCTATAAGTCGCGACGCTTGGACAAATTTACCAAATTGATTTTCTACCATGAATGGACATCGCATCTATGAAATCGAAAAGCGTATAGCGACGTATTCCAAGCACGATGTATCCATAACATAGTACCATAATTAGTTGAGTGCACTTGGGATGAATTAAACATGTTAGTTCCGCCACCTAAATGTTCATGCTCGGCTCACCACTAATAGTCAACTTGTGGCGGAGCAGTGAACTTCACATATTCCTTCCGAATCACTTCAACAATTAATCTGACTACTATAATCGATAAAGGAGCCTAAAGGAAACCTAGTTGGTACCTCTCTAGCTTTAACTTCTATTTTTAATATTTCAAATGAATGGGTTATTGACATAGGTGCTATTGATTACATTTGTTTAAATCTCTCTATTTTTTATTGAATTATTGCCCAAGTATAATAACATTGTGACAGATATATCTATTCCTACTGGTAATGCAATCCTTGCCTATGGTAGGACTATTGGTCATGCTCGTATATCCCTAAATTTTAGTGTGATATATATTTTTTATGTCCCTACGTTTAAATTTAACTTGCTATTTGTGCAAAAATTAGCAAAGTATTCAAATTGTATTTATCATTTTCTTTCCTAATTATTGTGTGTTTCAAGACCTTTCAACGAAGATGGAGATTGGTCGGAGCCATAAACACATTGGCTTATATTTCTTTAGTGATACACCGCAATCTACTACATTAACCACAACCACTCCTAATACATGGCATTCTCGTTTTGGTTACCCATCACATTCAATTTTTAAATATTTAATTTCTACACTATGTGGTTATTTGTCATATGCCCAAACAAACACGTTTTATCTTTAAGTCATATTTCAACTTATGCTTGGTTTTATATATATATATATATATATATATATATATATATATATATATATATATATATATAGTGTAAGGTTCCCGTGCGATTGTGCGGTTGATTAATGTGCGTGAGTATTTTGTTTAATGTGTCTGAGATTTGTACTTAATGTGCGTGAGTGTGTAATGTTAATGTGCGTGAGTTTTGTACTTAAGGTGTGAGTCTTGTGCCTATGATGCATAAGTTGTGTGCTTAATGTGCGTGAGTGTGTTCTTCATCCACTGCTGTGAAAATTATGCGCATTCACTGCTGCATTTTCTTCTTGTTTTTTTTTTTTTTTTTTTTTTTTTTTTTTTTTTTTTTTTTTTTTTTTGTTTCGAAGTGGTGAAGGAATGGATTTTGTCTTGTTTTTAACATAAAATCAGAACATCCATATGTGCGTTTACATATATCCATCCATTCACACACAATCAGAAAAGCTTCACCCACCTTCTTTTCTGTTATGCTTCCTTCTGAGTTCGTAATTCTGAGCTCAAGTCACGCACATTAAACACAAACTTCACGCATATTAAGCACAATACTCAGGCACATTAAGTACAAAACTCACGCACATTAACATTACACACTCACGCACATTAAGCACGCGACTCACGCACATTAAGTATATAACTCACGCACATTAATACACTGCACAACCGCACGGAAAGTCACAAATGCACCTGATCCCTTCCCTATATATATATATATATATATATATATATATATATATATATATATATAGGCGAGTTCAGGTGCGGTAGTGTCTTACGGTGTGGCGATTTCTTACGGTGCGGCAACACCAATAGTTCAACAAATATGCACCATCAACGTTAGGAAAATACACCACAAAAAACAGAGTAAACAGAGCCCTGCATCACCAAACACACACCATTAGGTGTGAGCAAAAACACCATACACTGTTCAGAAATACACCATTGGGGGTGGTGAGTTATATGGTGTATTTTTTTTGAGTCTGTTGTGTATTTTGTGATGTTTTATTGCATTTCATTGTGGTGTGTTTTTCTAACACTGTTGGTGCATATTGTTAACACTGTTGGTGTATTCTGGAATTCCGCCGCACGGGAAGATCCAAACGGACCCAGACGCATTTGAACTTTATTCTCTATATATATATATATATATATATATATATATATATATATATATATATTTACACTTAAGATATATTATTATTATTATTATAATTAAGTAATAATTTTTTTCCCGGTATTAGTTTACATCTCCTATATATATATATTAGTTTACATTACACAAAGTGCCAATAACGCTTCCATTGAGGCTGAACTCACAACCTTCCAAATGGAAGTCCAACCCGAGTACCATTAGACCACATAGTCTTAGTTGGCTGTTGGATTTTGAACTCTAAAAAATTTTGATTTTTCTCTCTTACACTCTCAAAATCATTTTGTTACGAAATATTTTGCCAACACTTCCGTAAATAGTACGAAGTGTTCGATCTTTTTTCTAGTTCGCCCGATTTTTCATTTGAGTGCTCAAACCTTAAACCATGATCCATTTTATCTTAGAAGACCGACGCTACAACGTAACAATCCTAACACACTCAGAAGGTTCAGAATCGATTTTAAAGAAAATGTGTATTATACATGATTTGGATCTTTCCTCGTTCTTTCTGTTGGGTTTATATTCAAATTATAAAAAACCCTTTCCTTGTTATTTTATTTATTTTATATAAATAAATTTTGGCTTTGTACCAAGCTCTGGTTGAAATTAATTTTCTAAAATTAAATTCCATATTTCAGTTATATATATATATATATATATATATATATATATATATATATGAGTTAATACCATCTGAGGTCCTCCGAGTATAGTGGTTTTGCCACGTTTAGTCCTAAACTTTCAAAGTGACCATCTGTGGTCCTTCGACTTTCAAATTTAACCATTCGTGGTCCAAGTTAACCACCCATGGTCCTTCAACTATTAAATTTTAACCAACTATGGTCCTTTCAAGAAGACCATGGCTGGTTAAATTTTGAAACTTGAAGGACCATATGTGGTTAACTTGGACCACGAATGGTTAAATTTGAAAGTCGAAGGACCACTGATGGTCAATTTGAAAGTTTAGGACTAAACGTGGCAAAACCACTATACTCGGAGGACCTCAGATGGTATTAACTCATATATATATTATATATATATATATATATATATATATATATATATATATATATATATATATATATATATATATATATATATATATATATATATATATATAATATTGATAATCAGGTGAGAACCATGTCTTAGGTGAGATTTTGTGGACAAATTGAAACCATTGATCTAGTAGATCTAACGGTTGAAAATAAACAAAACTTAGTACAGTAATATTTAGGAAAATGCCTCCGCTCATTTTAAAAATTTGTAATATTTTTGAAAATGACCCCACTCATTTTTTACTTGAATTATCATCCAGATCTTACAAATCAATGATTTGAATTTGTCCACAAGTTCTCACCTAGGGAGTGGTTCTCATATGATCAGGATTATATATATATTATTTTGGTAAATCGGCTTATTCACTGCCTTCAGCAAGCGCCGTCATCTTCTTAATGTGGCACGTGCTTTGCGCTTTCAAGCAAGACTACCGTTAAATTTTGGGACAATTGTGTTTTAACTACTGCTTATCTTATCGATCGTACCCCTACCTTAGTCTTGCAAAACAAAACTCATTTTTAGTCCTAGAAGCTAACAACAATTGGTCTTTGACAACTCTACCGCCTGGTAAGTTCGCTATTAGATGTCGATGAGTTTACCGTATCAAATACAAACTTGATGGTTCCGTTGAGCACTACAAGGCCCGGTTGGTAGCAAAACGATACTCTCAACTAGAAGGACTTGACCTAATTGATGTCTTTGCTCCTATCACAAAGCTTGTCATACAGTCAGTACAGTTCTTAGCATTGCAGCTGTGCGATAATGGATTACTCATCAACTTGGCATCTCTAGTGTCTTCCTTCGCGTAACACTTCATGAAGAAGTCTATATGCAAGTTCCTCCAAGTTTTTTGTAAAAGGGAGAGAATTGTGTTTGCTGTTTTCAAAAATCTCTTTACCGGCTCAAACAGGCACCATGGTCATGGTTCATTTATTTGTTAATTTTGAAATTTTTGTTTTTATATGGTCTTGAGACGCAAAAAAGATAAACTAACTTAAGTTGTTATGATTAGCTTAAACCAAGAAATTAATATCACTCCTATTAAAAATCAAATTCGTAATTTTGTGATTATTACGTAAATAAACTAAGTTGGTTAGATTATCTTCTTAGTAATTTGGATTTTTAATGAGGAAGAGCATAGATTTAAGGGGGGGAGGGGCGGGGGTGGGGAGGGGGATGGTGCCCTGCCCTGGTCGAGGGAGGAGGGAGTAGATGAGTAGTAGCTGTACCCGGTAGATTCTGACGGCTGAGATCTCCCCTCTTTTACACACACCTCGCAGGTGTAGTACGGCTTCTTTTTCAAGTCATGCAACTTTATGTTTGCATGCCTTTTCTCTGTCTTCACTTTTTGTTTTGTAGAGGATGAGCTCTTTTATAAGTTTTATTATTATTATTGTTATTATATTCTTTTCTTCGATCCCATCCTTTTATCATCCATGTTATTTTGTGTTACTTTATTTATTGTTCAATACACATCTTCATAGTCGATTGAAATAAGTACCTGAGTAACTCTTCTGTGAAAGATACATGAGACAGATCGGGTAAAAATAAAAATGTTCCAAAAAATGTAATATGTATAAATAATAAAGTGTTTTGTTACTTATACAGGAAAATATAATACTTTTTAAAAAAATGTAATACTTTTAAATTAAAATGTAAAATAAAAAACACTTTATTCTTGATTAGTTTTATATTTTTCAGTATAAATATTACATTTTCAACTTGACTTAACCTGTTTCACGGACAAGAGTCCGTGAGATGATCTCACACACGTTTTTGACTAAGTATGCAATTCTTAGAATTATTTTATGGTCTTCTTTATTTTATATATCCAAAGATGTAATATAAATGTTCTTCAAGCATCTTGTGCTCAAATGACACCTCTGTGGCTCTCTTTGAGGAAAGGTCACATGATCGAACTTCGGTTGTGAGATATTGACTCTTTGAACTGCATTAGTTAGAGAAAATATAGAATAGATACTACTTGTAATAACTGCAATTCTTAGAGTTATCTTCTAGTGTTCTTTTTGAGAAACAAGAGCTAATTCATTAAGTCATAGTCAAAGACAATTAACAAGGAAGTGCGGGGGTGTATAAAACCACTCCCCACAATCTGACACAGAAAAGCCCCCCGCGCAACAGTGTCGGTGGCACAATTCGCATTCCATCTAGCATAAAAGAATTCAACACCACCAATCGTGGCTGCTAACTCTTTAACGTCATCAACTAATAAACCAAAAGAAGAACTAAACGAAGACGAATGCAAAACATTAAAAACAATTTGGGAATCCATTTCAACTTCCACATTTCCCATGCCTATGCCCAGTAGCCAACTTAGAGCCTCCCTTACGCTCAGTGCCTCAGCTTCCTTCACCGTATAATTGCTATGCATGCACATATTCTTACAAGCCAAGAACCTGCCTTCATCATTTCTTAAAACCCAACCAAGGCCCATTGAACTGGAGCTATTCTGTAGAGCCGCATCCGTATTTAGCTTCAGCATTCCTCTACTCGGTCGTGACCATCTCTCCGTGGCAGTGCTGGTAGATGTGTTCGTGGTCTGCAAGTTCGCCGATTTCTAGTTTTCCAAGAACACCAAGGATCTCAGCAACAAGTTATTTAGATCAAACACCACCCCCTTCCAGACATGTTCATTCCTAGCAGTCCAGATGTCCCAACAAATAATCATAAACTTAGCACGTACCTCTTCATTCATGGCATTAATGCAGTCGAAAAACTAGTCGCTGGCATCTTCACTGGTCGAGTACGTGCACATTCCCAAGCTAGTCCAAGCAGACACATCTTGCGGGCATTGGACAAACATATCTTCTGTAACTCCACACATGTGGTACGACAGCGAGCAAACCACATGCTTGGCAATCAGTGCCTCTGTGGTTGGTAGATAGCGCGACGCCAACTGCCAACAAAAAGTCTTCACTTTGGGCAGGACTTGCGCATTCCAAATCTTCAGCCATGGCCGGGAGTCTTGTTGGATCAATGTGAGCTGTTTATAGCACGATTTCACCGTGTAGGTCCCCTTCGAATCCCAAAACCAATACCAGCCGTCCAATGGCTTCCTTATACTGATCGGCACATTCAAGATCAAGCCTGCATCACGCTCACAGAATACATCCTGTACACATTCCACATCCCACCCCGTTCCTTGTATGTTGAGGAGCGAGGATAAGGGGGCTTCGAATACAGACTCATGCAAGTCGGTTTGCACGTACGGGTAGTCATGCACTGGTAACCATGGATCCAGTCCAATCCTCATATTGGCCCCATTACCAATGTACCGCCTGCACCCTTGCTAAAGCATCTCCTTTACTGCTAACATCCCCTTCCAGATAAATGACAGGTTGCACCCGTCCTTGGCATCAAAGTAGGTACCATTAGGGTAGTATCTACCTTTTATGACACGAGCTACCAGAGATGAGGGTCGTGTGATAAGGCGCCACGCCTGTTTGCCAATTAAAGCTTTGTTCATCTCATGTAACTTTCGAAACTCCATGTTCCCACTTGCCTTTGGAACGCTTAAGCCAGTCCATGAACGTCACCATAACCCCTTCCCATGCCCTACTCTTCCTATCCACCAGTACTCGTTCAGAATAGTCTCAATATCCTTGCACAGACCCATGGGCAGCATAAAGACCATCATCGCATACACTAGCATAGACTCGATCACATTTTTTAACAGCACTTCACGCCCCGCTCGCGACAGAAATTTTGCATTCCAACTTCTCTAATCTTTCCCAATATACGATCCTTCACAAACCCCATAATTTCCTTCTTCTTCCTTCCTACAACAGAGGGAAGTCCTAGATATTTGGCATTAGGTTTTCCTTCTGTCACCCCCAGCACATTAGTGATCTCCTCTCTGCGTTGCTGACCCACATTGGCACTGAAGCATACGACGAACTTCTCGTTGTTTACATGTTGACCTAAAGCAGTAGCATATGTATCAAGCACATACCTCATATTCACACTTCCGGGGGTGTTTGCCCGCAGGAACAGAAAGCAATCGTCAGCGAATAACAAATGTGTTATTGGTGGCGACTGCCTTGCAATTGAGATGTCGTGCAATTGTCCCATACTCGTCTCTCTCTCTATTAATGAACTAAGCCCCTCGATGACAAGGAAGAAGAGGTATGGCGACAACGGGTCCCCTTGGCGGATGCCCTAGGTGGGAGTTATTGGTCCCAGTTGCTGATGTTCATGCAAGACACGATATTTCACCGATGTAACTATAATTTTGCATTTCCCCAAATTAAGATGATTATTATATATAAGCAACTGATACATTGAACTGACTGATGCGAAGATGTGAATTGTCAGTCAGATCGATAGATTGGCAATTAGTTTGTCGAGGAAAAAACTAAAGCAGATAATAAGAACACACATACGATGTTTACCAGTTCGATACAGTGTGTATCTACATCTGGGGGACGATCACCGAGGCGTCCAATCCACTAACTCATAATCCAATGTACAAAGGTAGAGAAACAAGAATCTCACCCAAGTGCCCCACACAAGGTACGTACCCAGTCTACAAAGGTTTAGTGGATTGTTGAAGACGGAGAGCCACGCATGCAGAAGTCCAACGAAATCCCTTCGATTGGAGAGCTAACTCTGATGCAGTCCGCCTCAATGACGCAGTCCCACGTTGTTCCCACAACTGAGTGATCTTCGCGTCCTTTCGTTTAAGCAACGATAGTTCTTCTCAAGTTCTTCATCATAATCACCAAGAACATGTATTCTTGAGAAGAGGCATAATCAAAGATGTGATCTTCTGTATAGCAAGGAGTGCCTTTTTAGTCTTACTAAACGTAACCCTAATTCATGACCGAATGAGGGTACTTATACTTCCTTAGAAAAGCCACTCTCCAAAAATATCTTTGAATGTAGATGGTAGGACGATTTGTGAAGAATGCAATCTTAGAGATTCGGTCCATACCTTCCAAAACAGATCCGCTGATTTTCTTTCCAAAAGTCTTCAAACCGCTTTCAGAGTTTTTGGAAACTTCTTCCTTTATCTGATCTTCAGTGTCAGTGCGTCTGTTGATATCTCTGATCAATCAGTCTTCTGTAGCAGCAAACAGACACCAAACTAAACCCTATCTTAGTTTGCCATAATAATATTGCCAATCATATGTTGGGGTTTTATGGAAAAAAACAAAAAACTACCAAACTCCCCCTTTGGCTATTATTTGGCAAAACAACTCGACTAAGATAAACCAAAAACTATGGAGAAAGAAAGGAAGATAAAAATCGCATAAATAGCAAAGTCTGAAATACACCTCTTAAGAAATAGCATCACACATGTCGTGATGATCAACAAAAATAAAAAGTAGCATTCTTCGCGGATCATGAGGCCATCACAAACACAACGCCCAGACAGGGTCAGAAGGTACAGAAACACAAAAAAAAAAAAAAAAAAAAAAAAAAAAAAAAAAAAAAAAAAAAAACACAACTCCCGCTGAGTTTAATCACTCCCCGTTTTTGCCAAAGATACACAAAGAAGCATTCAGGCATTCGAGGGTTCATCACTGTTGGATTTCACGTTCTCGCAGCAGCAGACTCAGTCAGGCTCAGACGAAGCAGAACAGTTGCAAGTTCAGTACGGGCTGCAGTGAGTTGTTTCGCAATGATTCCATTAACAGTTTCCAGCTCAGACACCCGAGCCTTCAAACGAAGAGATAGCTGAATGTCCCTCGCATGTGGCGAGTCATCAGGAGTGTCAGCTTCAGAAGATGGAGGCACAGCCACAGGCGTAACATCTCGGATGTGCTTGCCAGTCAAGAGACGAGGATTAACACTGTAGAGCAGAGTTGGACAGATAATCTCGCTTGGCATCGGGACCAGGCCCTGCGTTGTCAGAACTCCAAAGATGAGATTAGGATATAGCAGTCTTACCTTCTGTTCCCTTGGATGAATCAAGGTGAGGAAATGATAGAAGATCCACTTTCCCAGATCAATGGTCATTTTTGTGCCAATTCGAAATAGAAGAGCAGCCAGTTGCTTGCCAACCGTATGGAAGTGTGCAGAAGGTAGCCAATTGTGTAAGGCAATACGGTGCAGAATAACATATTTGGAGGTGAGTTTCGAGCTAGACAGAGTATCAACATCACCTGTAGGCCATACAGGAGTCTGACCACCGGTAAGGGTCCTTGCAACTAAATCCCAATCCGTAATCTCTTCCTCATCAACAGCCCTTAGACCATAATACTCATTAATCACATCTGGACCGAAAACATACCATTTTCCTCTGATGAAAATCTGCATGCACCTGGTCCCCAAAAGATTGTCAATGTCCTCATTCAGATTACAGAAGAACTCATAGGTCAGTAGGGGTGTCAATACGGGCCGGCCCGCCTCATTAGGCCCGCCCCACCGCGGATTTTTTATTAGGCGGGTTTTGGCGGGCCGGCCCGCGGGCTTGGAACTATACAACCCAAGCCCGCCCCATGCGGGCTTGCGGGTCTCGCGGGCTGGCCCGCGGGCCATCACTTAAATTTTTATTTTTAAAAAAACATTAAATAGTATATAAACATGTTAAAATTGCTTGAAATATGGCACCGAAAACTTCCATAAAATCCATAAACCTCGCCCAAATCTCCCGAATTGATACCGCGCGTTCAGCATAATTGTAGAAGGGTGATCAAAGCTAGGGTTCAACATCACACTCGATTTCTCTCTAGGCTTCAGATTTTCCCTCTACAATTTCCGTCTGTGTATAATACATATATAAATATGTATGTTTGCTAGACCTGGAGGAGATTTAGTAATTCATAAATATGTATGAATTGATGATTTAGTTTTAGTAATTATTTGATAGAGTTGGAGGCGGATGGAGACGGGAGAACTGAAAAACTATGTATTATAGGAATTATTGAATTAAGAATTGGCGAAGGATTATTGAATTATTGGATTTCTCCCCTTCTGCGTACTCTTAGATAGTTAGATCTACACATTGCCTAAGAATTAAGATATTATATATATGGTTTTAAAAAAAAAAAAAAGATATTATATATATAATTTATTTATTTATTTTTTAAATATGGCTTGGCCCGCGGGCCGGCCCGCAACCCGCACGGGTTTGCCCGCGCGGGCTCTGGCCCTCCGCGGACCATGCCCGTTAGGCCCGCATTTTCGCGAGCCTAATTTCTTGCGGCCCTAACCCGCCCCATTGCAGGGCGAGTGCGGGCTAACCCGTGGGCTTCGGCCCACTTTGACAGCCCTATAGGTCAGCAGCTTGGAGTAAGGGCAAATAGAAGTGACAGTCTTCAGGAGGCCAACTTCACTGAGCAAGGGCAGAATGTCACAGACATAATTCAACTGATTCTCATCAACTGATCGCTGAACCATCGTAGACCATTTTCCTTGAGCTGTAGCAGAAACAAACTGAGGTTTGTAAATCGATGTGTCAGGGTTGTCCGAAGCAGCTTGGACATCAGGCGTAACACTCCTTCCTCTCGACCTTGTAGTTGGTTTCATCTTTCTGGTAGAGGTGGTGGAGACCGTAGCAGGTGCCTTGTTCTTGACAGATGATCGCAGAGTTTTGAAAACCTGTTGAACAGGTGGATCACTTTCGCTTTGACGGATTCAACAGATCGCCTTATTTTCTCAGGTTGAACCGTATCAAGATTATCATCACCGGTTTCAACTGCTACTCTCTCAGGAATCCCTTTGCGCTTCGATTTTCTTGTCTCTCTGGATGGAGAATGATCGGTTGGGCTTGGTGAAACCGAGTTACTTGTTTCTAACACAGGAGCAGACGAAGAGCCAAGAAGTTTGGAGACTTCTCAAATTTTAAAGGTAGTCGAGTCTGGATGTGCTGTTGCTTCCACTGTAAGAGGTCCAGACAACTGAGCTTGAGGACCATAAACTTCAGCCAGTATCTTCTCATCATCACTGTCAAGCTGTACAGGAGGATCATTAGGGTGAATGACTTTATAAGGTTCTGGTACAGAAACAGATGATAAACAGGCAAAGTGACGGATGTGGTCAAGGCTCTCAGCTATAGAGGTTGAAGTATAAACAAGAACTCCTTCAATTTGATCAGAGGAACTAGGGCTTGAGAGTCTGGCAACCTCAATTTAAGTCGACACCTTAGGAGGAACATCTACCGGGCAAACTTCAACCGGTGACTTAGCAGCATCAGAGATGGGTAAAACAGGAATAGCAGATCGTGCAATATCAGCAGAGTACACAACTAGACTCAAATTGTCTACCTTATCATCAGAATCACTATTAGGGACAACTTTTGCAGACTCCAAATTTTCAGAAGATATACGAGGAGGATCATCAGACACAGAGGATTTCTCAGACAAAAAAACATTCTCATTATCGGATTGTGCAACAGGCAGAGCAGATTCAATAGCATCAGAAATTAAATCATCAGGCTTATCAGGAGATATCTCAATAGGGGTTTCAGAAGTATTAGACCTGTTACGAAGAATCTCGATACGGTGTGTGGCTTCTTTCTGTGCAGCTTGAAGATAGAGAGGTTGAGCTGCTATCCGTCGACGCGAGATTTCTTCGGATTCCAGAGCCCTTTGGGCGAAATATTGGAGGAAAGCCCCAGCACGGTTACCATCTTCAGGCTTAGGAATGGTCGCCCACACGACTAACATTATCACTCGCTTTGGAGGCCAACATCAAGAGATCACTTGTGTTTTCGTTGGACCAATCCGCATAGAATTCCGGGTAATCTGAGAACACTATGACCACGATTTCGTCGCGAAGATCAAGGTCAAGCTTCAACGTCTTTTTCATAGCGAGTTGGAGAAGAGTTTTGACATGCTTCATGGCTGTCTCTGGTGAATGAACTTTCCTTCCCAGCTTTATGATAATATTTCTCACTGCATCCGCCATTGTTGTGTGATTTGGGAAAACAGAGAGAAACCCTAGGTGTAGAATCAGTAACCAAATAACAGAGAGATAAGTAGTATTTAGAACTTTTCCTCCAAAGAAAAATAGACCCGATCAAATATATAATCCCAAGGGAGATGAACACTATTTAATGCGGTTGTCAGAATGCATGCAGCGAATGTGATTGACACAACGATATAGCTCCTTTTTAGGGATTAAATGGATGATTTGAATTTTGAAAGAGGCGAATTAAATTTGGTAACCAAGGTTAAGATAATATCTTAACATAAACAGAAGAGAGATTAAAAAGGAAGTCAAATATGTAATTTTGACCCGTGAATGTGACCACCATACACTCTCCTTTTGTGTCATCATCCTGCCTTCTTGATCAATCCTGCAGATTCCCAGAGCAGATATGAGAATCTCAAACCGATTTATGTCCAGAGGCTTAGTCAGTAGGTCAGCCAATTGCTTATCTGTTTGAATATATTCCAATTCTATCTCCTTTGACTCTACCAAGTCTCTGATATAGTGATGCCTTATATCAATATGCTTCGTTCTGGAGTGTTGAACTGGGTTCTTTGAAATATTTATTGCACTAACATTGTCACAGTAGAGTGTCATAGTCCTTTGTGTGAGACCATAATCTAGAAGCATTTGCTTCATCCAGACCAACTGAGTGCAACATCCTCCAGCTGCTATATATTCTGCCTCTGCAGTGCTTAGAGAGATTGAATTCTGCTTCTTGCTTAGCCATGAGACTAAATTCTTTCCAACAAAGAAGCATCCACCTGATGTACTTTTTCTGTCATCTATGTTAACTGCCCAATCAGCATCATAATACGCACTTAGACTGAATTCACTATCCTTGGAGTACCATAACCCATACTGAATTGTGCCCTTGATGTATTTCAAGATCCGTTTAGCAGCTATGAAATGTGACTCTTTGGGATCGGATTGATATCTTGCACACATCCCAACACTGAACATAATATCTGGTTGACTCTTGCGGTCAGATATAGCAAACTTCCAATTAGGCTTCGATAGACTATGTTATCAACTGATGCGCTAGTATCATCTTTTGACACCTTTGTTGAAGTGGAGATAGGGGTTCTGGGAGTTTTACATGACTCCAGATCGAATTTTTTGACCAAATTTTTGGCATATTTTTCTTGTGAGATAAAGTAGCCTTCAGTACTCTGTTTGACTTGAAGTCCTAAGAAATAAGTTAGTTGACCTACCATGGACATTTCAAATTCTTCCTTCATAACCTTCACTAAGTCATCAGTATATTTCTGTAGAGTAGATATGAAGACAATATCATCTACATAAATCTGAGCTATAGTCACATGACTTCCAGTGGTTTTAACAAACAAGGTCTTGTCAACACTCCATCGGCTATACCCATGATGTAGCAGATACTGTGTCAGACATTCGTACCATGCCCTTGGAGCTTGTTTAAGCCCATAGAGAGATTTTCTAAGCTTGTAAACATGCGTCGGATGAACTGTGTCTTCAAAACCTTTAGGTTGTGCAACATAAATATCTTCATGCAGATACCCGTTCAGAAATGTTGTCTTAACATCAATCTGAAACAATGTGAAACCCAGAATACATGCAACTGCCAATAGAATTTTGATTGACTCCAATCTTGCAACCGGAGCAAACGTTTCATCATAGTCAATACCCTCAATTTGTGTATATCCTTGAGCAACCAACCGAGCTTTGTTTCTTGCAATATTTCCAAATTCATCAGTTTTATTTTTGAAGATCCACTTTGTTCTGATTATGTTAACACGGTCTGGCCTTGGTACGAGATCCCACACATGATTGTGGTCAAACTAATGTAGTTCCTCCTGCATAGCCTTAATCCATAGATCATCCTGCAAGGCTTCCTTCACATTCTTTGGTTCTATTTTTGAGGTGTAGCAGGCAAGTCAGGATATTTCTATCAGATTGCTTCTCATCCGACTTCTGGTGTTCATTCCATCTGATGGATTACCAATGATGTTGTCTAGTGGATGATTTTTCTGTGTTTTGGTGGGCTTATTCTTACCATCACCATCCGAGAGAAAGTTCTCATGTTCTGGGCTTTCTTTATCTTCTTCTGATGAGTCATGTGTGTCGGGCAGTTTGGTTTTTTCAGCTGTTTCTAATGACTCACTGATAGGAAGGTCTGTCTCTGGATTAATCACCGATGTTTCTTCTGATTCTCCTGGGTTATCATCGATAACAACGTTCACTGATTCCATGACTGATTGAGTTCGTTTGTTGTAAACTCTATAAGCTCGACTGTTTGGAGAGTATCCAAGAAAGACGCCCTCATCACTCTTGGGTTCAAACTTTCCCCTTTGTTCCCTATCAATTAGAACATAGCATCTTGTGCCAAACACATGGAAGTACTTCAGATTCGGCTTCTTCCCTTTCCATATCTCATATGGTGTCTTAGTTGTACCTAGTTTGAGATAAGCTCTATTCACTGTATGACATGCTGTGTGCACTGCTTCAGCCCAGAAACACTGTGGTAGATGCGATGCGTGCAACATCACTCTGGCCATTTCCTGCAAAGTCCTATTCTTTCTTTCCACTACACCATTCTGTTGTGCTGTTCTGGGAGCTGAGAACTCATGAGCTATTCCATTTTTAGAGCAGAAATCTAAGTATAAGGAATTTTCAAACTCTTTCTCATGATCACTTCTCAGCCTTTGAATTTTTATGATGGACTCGTCTTTTTCTTTTTTGTACTCTTGTGCATAGAGTCTTGAAAGCATTGAATGCCTCAGATTTTTCTCTCAGAAAGTATACCCAGCTGAAACGAGAGAAGTCATCTACACACACAAAGATGTATTTCTTTCCGCCAATGCTTTCAGACTGAGTTGGTCCCATGCGGTCTATATGGACCAGTTCTAGACATCTCTCAATAGTGATCACTTTTACTACTTTGTGAGGAGCCCTTATTTGCTTTCCAATGGCACATGCACCACAAACTCCTTCCTGTTTTATTTTGAGCTTAGGTATCCCACGAACAACATCTAATTTGATCATTTTTTCCATATCTCTGAAGTTTATGTGACCCAATCGTCGATGCCACAGTTTTGATTCGTCTGTTTTAGAATGTAGACATGCTGTTTCATTAGTCAGAACATAACAGTTGTCAGAGGATCATGTTCCTTCCATCACCACTTAGTCTGCTTTATCACGGACTCTGCAGCAGTCAAGATTGAAACACACATTCCAATTTTGATCACATAGCTGACTGATGCTAATAAGATTTGCCTTCAGACCACTGACTAGAAGAACTTCGTCCAGATGAGGCAATCCTGGTACATTTAGAGTACCTTTTCCCACTATCTTTCCTTTTTGTCTGTCTCCATATGTTACTGACCCACTACTAGGTTGAACAGCCATGAGACACTTGACATTCCCAGTCATATGTCTGGAACACCCACTGTCAAAGTACCATCTTACCTCAGTCATAGAAGCAGTCAGAACCACTGTGGGATAGCATATTACTTCTGATTTCCTGACCCACACCTATTTTGTGAAGGGGGTAATAGACTTATTCTGATATTTCTCCTTCCTCTTATCTTTGTAAAAAAAAAACAACATTCAGGTCGGGTGTGACCTTTTGTTTGACAGTAGTGACAGATGGGTACGTATTGTCTAACTTTTACAAATTTAGTCTTGAACTTTGAGTAATGAGATTGAAATTTTACTCTGTCAGTCCCAGTCTCAGCAATCCGGGTGTGCATAATTCCTTTCTGCTTTATCTGTACTGACCGTGATGTCTGATCTTGTTCATAATTGTGAAATGGTTTACAAACTGATGTACCTTCTTTGATAAACATTGGCAGTGTCTTTGAGGACTCACCTCATTCGAAACCGAGTCCCTTTTTATCATTGGGGTTTCGGCCAGAATCCAGGATTTTGTCTAAGGTGGAAGTGGTATCCATCATCTTGATGTTCTTCTTTAGATCCTCCAGTTCTTTTATCAATTTTCCCTCTCGTGATCTTATCTGAGTAATAAGATCTTCTTTTGTGACAAGTTCAGTGTTTAGTTTCTTCAGGAGATCATCTCGCTGCTTCAGATCTTCATTCAGACTCTTGTTGACTTTCACTAGTTGTTCCCAACTTCCAACTAGTTTGGCAAATTCCAGTTCCAGTTGTATATGTCTCTCTTCAAAGTCATCTGATGATATGTATGATTCTTCATAAGTATCATTCTCTTCTGATTGGTTTTCTGTTGCCGTGAAAAAGGCCACGAAGTTTCCCACATTATCATCAGACTGGACATTTTCTGCTTCATCTTCATCATCACACAGGGTCGCCACTGACATAGCTTTCTTTCTTTTGAGATAGGTTGCACATTCAAATTGTATATGTCCGAATCCTTCACACTCTCGACATTGCACTGATCGGTTTAGAGGTCGAACTGTGTCAGTTGGATTATTGCTGATTTGTCTTGTTCGACCACTCTGAGACTGATTGTTCTGCGAGAAGGATGGCGTTTTTGTTTTCTGATACGAGGAGTTTCCACTTTTGTACTGTGTCCTGTTAGGTTGTTCTTGACTCCTTCGGTTGATGCCTTTCAATATTTTCTTAAAGTTCTTTGTTAGCAGGGCCAAAGCTTCGTCATCTATTCATCTGTGTCAGATTCTCGATCAGCTTCAGCAACAAAAGCTACTGACTTGCCCTTTTTGCTGGCTACAGGTTCGTCATCAGCTAGAACTTCAAGTTCATAAGTATGTAAACTTCCCATAAATTCTCCCACGCTCTTCTTTTCCCAGCCTGAGTGTTCCTGAATTGCAGTCACCTTCATTCGGAAACGTTTGGGAAGAGATCGAATGATCTTTTTGACCACTCTTTCATCAGTAAAAGGTTAACCAAGAACTGAAGCCCTGTTCATCAAATTCTGAACTTGGCTGTGAAAGGTTGAAATTGTTTCCTCTTCACTCATCCTAAGAGATTCAAACTTTGACAGTACCAACTGAAGCTTTGACTGTTTGACATCACTGGTACCTTTGTATCTGGTTTCAAGGGTGTCCCATACTCGTTTTGCTTCTCTTATTCCGGTGACAAGAGTAAAGACAGATCCATGCAAAGATCCTACAATAGAATTCAGCGCCTTATTGTTTAGATCTGAGGACGTCATTTCTTCTTCAGTCCATGTAGCAATAGGTTTGGCCTTAGCAGTTCCATCAACATTCTGGACTGTTGGAGGACTCCATCCAGTGAGGACAGTATGATATACTCTGGTACCTTGTGCCTGAAGGTAAATTTTCATTCGAGCCTTCTAGAAGGAATGGTTGTGGCCATCCAATTCTGGTGGTTTCATACTTGCATCCATCCTGAACCAAAAGACACCCAGACAAAACACAAACGCTGAAAGCAGACAAACGCCCAACAGACTACACGAAAAAATAGCTTCTTAAAGAGAGAACAATGCAAAATAAACCTTCCCGTAAGGATCAAGTCATTGTATACACTTAAAAGCTTTGATACCACATGTAATTTTCCATTTCCCCAGATTAAGATGATTATTATATATAAGCAACTGATATATTGAACTGACTGATGCGAAGATGTGAATTGTCAGTCAGATCGATAGATTGGCAATTAGTTTGTCGAGGAAAAAACTAAAGCAGATAATAAGAACACACATACGATGTTTACCCAGTTCGATACAGTGTGTATCTACATCTGGGGGACGATCACCGAGGCGCCCAATCCACTAACTCATAATCCAATGTACAAAGGTAGAGAAACAAGAATCTCACCCAAGTGCCCACAAAAGGTACGTACCCAGTCTACAAAGGTTTAGTGGATTGTTGAAAACGGAGAGCCACGCATGCAGAAGTCCAACGAAATCCCTTCGGTTGGAGAGCTAACTCTGACGCAGTCCGCTTCAATGACGCAGTCCCACGTTGTTCCCACAACTGAGTGATCTTTGCGTCATTTCGTTTAAGCAACGTTAGTTCTTCTCAAGTTCTTCATCATAATCACCAAGAACATATATTCTTGAGAAGAGGCATAATCAAAGATGTGATCTTCTATATAGCAGGGAGTGCCTTTTTTGTCTTACTAAACGTAACCCTAATTCATGACCGAATGAGGGTACTTATACTTCCTTAGAAAAGCCACTCTCCAAAAATATCTTTGAATGTAGATGGTAGGACGATTTGTGAAGAATGCAATCGTAGAGATTCGGTCCATACCTTCCAAAACAGATTCGCTGATTTTCTTTCCAAAAGTCTTCAAACCGCGTTCAGACTTTTTGGAAACTTCTTCCTTTATCAGATCTTCAGTGTCAGTGCGTCTGTTGATATCTCTGATCAATCAGTCTCTGTAGCAGCAAACAGACACCAAACTAAACCCTATCTTAGTTTGCCATAATAATATTGCCAATCATATGTTGGGGTTTTATGGAGAAAAAACAAAACACTAAAAATAACAGTGCTCATAATTATATAAACCCAGTGTTTAGCTGTAACACCCCCGATTTTCAACAACTTTTAAAACCAAATTAAAGCTTAAGGAAGAGATAAAGTCTACTCATCAAGAATAAATTAAAGCGGAAGCTAATAAACATGTACGGGAGATGTTATGCCACACCTACACATCTATATGTGCACAGGTTAAAACTAAACAAAACGTCATAGTCATACTTATAAAAATCAATGGGTCACAGGCCAAAAGTCTAACTAAAACAGTCATAAGGAGCTACACTAACTAACGATCTGCTAGCGCGCTTTCCAAGATGCTACTCAAAACCTGTAAAGCAACATAAAGATAGGGGATGACACCCGGTCAGCGAACATTGATCGTAACCCATCAATACGCGTTATATAGCATATATAAATAGTATAAGTCAAAAACCATTTTCGAAACGAAATACAGTATATATCATTTCAAAAGCCATAGAGTGAAGTCAACTTCAAAGACTCATTCACACTCTCAAAGGAAAAGAGGAAATCAACATCCCTAAGACAACAACAAGACAAGAATACCAACTGTAACCAATACAACTCGAGATGTATTCTACTGATCACAAAGTAGAATACATCAAGACATGCTCAATAGCAAAGAATACACATACACACATTGGCAACTACATGCCACAGTGACAACTACATGTCACAAGATTCACAGTTCCAACCTTATGGCTACCCTCGGCCTTATTTCAGTTCCAACCATTACCTCCGAGTGCCACCCTGTACTTCTGACTCCAACCTTTTGCCTCCGAGGGCCGTCGCCCCCCCCCCCCCCCCCCCCTCCCCGCCGGCATCGTCAACATTTCCACCGATCTCTCAGTACACGAGGGTACCATTCAATATCATATCACAAAACCGCCAATCTCAAACATGTCCACACGAGGACTGCATCAGTACCAAGAAGACTAAGGCCCCATAAACCTTAATCAAGCATCATTCAAGGTACAACAATTACATGTGTTCACATCATAGGAACCAATCAATGGATCACAACAAAGATTTGAAACCATACTCAACAACAAAGGATCACAATCCGACACCAAACGATGGTCAACACAAGTTGCCGATCTCAATAGGAAAGAACAAACCGCACACACTAGCATTTCAGCATCAAACTAGCATGCTTATCAAACGGGTAAATCAAAAGTAATTCCATAGAACATACAAGACTCAACATCAATCCAACGAATCACAAAGTTGGACCACAAGCATGATTCAAGACACCAAATCCTACATGGATTCCTAACATACCGTTCTAGACATACGAAACATCAAGAAGACACTTAAATAGCCCAATAAAACAACATCGGGAGGTCAAAACATCAATACCGAGTCAAAAGAATCACGGGGAACAAATCCCCGACCATCATCATCCATGTTCCCCGCGGGTGGGGCCACAGGTGGACAACCGCCCGTGGTTCCGTCCGCGGGTACCAATGCCCACAACACTCATACCCCGTGGGTGGGGCGGCGGGTAGAGCTCCGCCCGCGAGTACACCTGTACTCCAAAATAATCCCTTCGGAGATTTTCATCAACAAGTCCAAAACACCCAAAATCTCACACAATACAACAATATGACTTGAACCCAAGAAATAGCCAAGCAATGGCATACAAGAACCCTAAGAACAAGCTCTAAACATGCATTACCACAAGACAATGCATCAAATCTCACAATTTCAACACAAGAATCACAAGTAGAAGCTAAGAAATCATCATATAAGTAAGAAAATAGGTTTTGTAAAGCATGGGTTACCTTTGTAGCCTAAAACTTCACTTTCTCACCCTTAGAAAGCTTCTCCTAAAGCTCTTCTTAAACACCAACCTCATAAACATACCAAAAGACAACAAAGATTCTATTTTTAGAAAAAGACAACTAAAAGGATGCTAAAAACACCAAGAGATCAAGGTTCTTACCCTCCCCTATACTCAAGATTAGGAAAGTAGGAATCTTGGAAGACAACTTGTAAGATTTGTGATGCCCAAATTTGGCTTAGAGAAGGCTACCAAATTCTTAGAGAGAAGGTAGAGATTTTGTGTTTAGGTTGTTGGTGGATGAAATGAAGAGATGATGCTAGGTTAGCTTGGAGCACAAACTTTAGGTAGAAAGACACCTTTGCCCTTACTAAAGTTGGAAGAATAAGGAAACAAGGGAACAACCCACCAAGCATAAGGTGTATAATCGCAACAACTCAGTCCATACACTACTGATTTCAAGGTCTAGTATAATAATTTGTACAAGTCATAAAAGTTGATTAAACTACAAATCTACAAGTCAATTTCAAATGCAAATACCCAACACTGTTAGATCAAATCTTTACAAAATTAGAAGGATATGCAGTACTAAAATCTGGACAAGTATACGAAAAATTAAGCAATAATGCACAATTTTAACAATTAAATCATATGTACGTGCACTGAGGTTCAAGCACAAGAACAGGTGAGTTACCATGACGAAAATAGCAATAAAGGACAAGAACACGAAGAGTATGGGAGTGAAGTCGGAGATCCGGTGCGGCGGAGGCAGGGCAGCGGAGGATGTGCGCTGGCTGTGCGGGGTGAAGAAGAAAGCGTCGAACGGCAGGGCTGTGCGGGGCGGCGTGGCGGTGGGCAGTGGCTGAGTGAGACGGCAGCGAGCGGACCGATGGCTGTGCGTTGTGAGTCGTTTGATCGTTTGAGCGGCGGTGAGGTCTGAGGTCTGAGCAAAATGAAATGGCGGAAGAAATTTTGTTTTTGTTTGGTCTTCCTTTAAGTGTTAACGAAAATAATTGAGAGGGAATTTATTTTTTGAGAGGGAAGGAGATTATTTTTCACCGAGTGTGCGAGGGATTTTTTTTTTTTTTTTTTTATTTTTTATTTTTTTTTTTTTTTGGAGAGGGAAGGAGATTTTTGCAAAGTGTGATAGTCTTGAAAGTCAACTTTTAAAGAAGAGTGAATTTCATTTTTTATCTTAGATTTATAGGTAACAGTCTATTTATAATCCTTTTTTATCAAAATATTCAATTTTGGTCCTAGTATTATTTCTGCATGATCAATTTTGGTCATCTATCAATAAAATCGTTGAAATTAAATTAAATTGAATGACATTTTGATATTTTTAATACAAAGTGCATTGACCAGTTATACTTTTTATGGTTATTTTTATGAAAAAAATCATAATTGAAGAGCGAAATGTCATGTATTTAACGAAATTTCAACAATTTTTTTTATAAAGGACCAAAATTGGTCATGTCACAATAATATTAGGACCAAAAATGAATGTTTTGATAAAAAAAAAAAAAACTAAAAGTGAATTGTCACCTATATTGGGACCGGGTCCATCATACCTATAGGTACAGAACAGGGGGTAAGAAAATAATAGCTTTATTACTTGGGGAACTAGGCCCAAAATAGTAACGGGTATACAGGTACAAAACGGGGGTTAGAAAATAGTAACTTTGGTTTTCACAGATAACACAGAAGCAACCCAGTTATATACCAGATGTTGCACTTTAGTACATAAGAGTTTGTGTTGCTTAGTTGGTTAAGCTTTAATTGTTATGTTTGAGGTTTATTTGTCTTAAACAAATAAAGAACGCGCAACAACAACGGTAAAGAACGCGCAACGACAACGGTTATATAAAACTGTTGTCGTTGTAGTGTTGTGTATTCAAGTGCTATTAAAGACAACACATAAATGACAACGGTTAAATAAAACTTTTGTCCTTTATAAAATAATAATGCGCAAAGACAACGGTTTTAAAAAACTGTTGTCTTTGTAGTGTTGTGTATTCTAGTGCGCTTAAAGACAACACACCAACGACAACGGTTAAATAAAATCGTTGTCTTTAAAAAAAAAAAAAAAGAGTGCACAAAGACAACGGTTTTAAACAACCGTTGTCTTTCTAGTGTTGTGTATTCTAGTGCGCTTAAAGACAACACACCAACGACAACGGTTAAAAAAACTGTTGTCTTTTAAATAAAAAAACACACATAGACAACGGTTTTAAAAAACCGTTGTCGTTGCGGTGTTGTCTTTTCACAAAATGCACAAAGACAACACACTTATAACAACGGTTAAGTAAAAACCGTTGTCTTTGACAAAAATGTTGCATCAAAGACAACGGTTTTGAACCAAACTGTTGTCTTTTATACAAAAGACAACACTTTTCTTAAAAACTGTTGTCTTTCTAGTGTTGTCTATGTGCATTTTTCTTGTAGTGGATGTACCTTTCGATCGTGGCCGATAATTTTCACATAAAAGAGAGGGAAAGTGTCTAAATCTTGAAAACAAAAGGCCAGCCGGGGGCATGCTTAGTAAAGCATCTAAGTGAGGAATTTATAATTTTCATTTTTAATTTTTTTTATTGGAATATCAAAAGTAAAGCATCTAAGAGGGGAAGGATTTTGTTAACATGTGGTTATTGATGTGTGCTCATGCGATAAATTTTATGTTTTAAAGAACCAAATCATTTTATATTATCACATGAGCTAATTGGTCACCTTCGACAAAATATGATGAGTCATATTTTTACCATTATATATATTCTTAGCTTGTTGGATATCATAAATAAATAAACAAACAAACATATATATATATATATATATATATATATATATATATATATATATATATATATATATATATATATATATATATATATATATATATATATATATATATATATATATATATATATATATATATATATATATATATATATATATATGATTATATTCAAATACAAACAGGCCTTAAAATACAAACGTGTGGATTCATATGCGTCGTTGGATTTTGGGATTGGATGTCCAGGATTTGTTTTATTATTTATGGTGTTTTTTTTTGTTGGGATCGGCTGATGTATTTTAGTGGGGGTATTTTTGGGTTTTTCCTTTTCT